ACCATGGAAGACCCCTCCTATCAGAGTCAGGAGAGACCCAGTGACACAAACATATGTTCAGAGTTCTGTCCATGGAGAGGGCTGAGAAGCAGTGAGATCTTTTTTGTTTTTTGAGGAAGATTAGCCCTGAGCTAACATCTGCTGCCAATTCTCCTCTTTTTGCTGAGGAAGACTGGCCCTGAGCTAACATCCATGTCCATCTTCCTCTACTTTATATGTGGCATGCCTACCACAGCATGGCTTGACAAGCGGTGCCATGTCCGCACCCGGAATCTGAACTGGCGAACCCCAGACCGCCGAACCGGAATGTGTGCACTTAATCACTGAGCCACTGGGCCGGCCCCAGCAGTGAGATCTTAATAGCAGTGAGAACACCTGGTGCTCAGAGCTTGGTTTCTAAACCTCATTTTCCAGTGAAAGGAACAAGAACTCTGTAGAGAAGTGGTTGATTCCAGGGCTGGGAATCATAAAGGGAAAATACAAGATGAGCCCAGAGTACCTTTTGGTGTCCAGAAAGTAAAAAAGTGCTGAAAAAAAGATAGGGCCTGTTGAAAGAGCACAGGTGCCAACCTGAAAGAGTTCCTAAAATGGCCAAAGCTGAGAAAACTTGAGCAACAAAATAAATAACAATAGTGTTGGGTTATAACCCATAAAATAAATATCCATGAGTCCACACTGATATAAAAGGTAACCAAATAAATAAATGGAAGAGCAGAAACAATTCTTTCTTACAGAAGAATTCCAATTAATAAATGTAGGAGGAACAAGGGAAACAGAAAACCACCATTAGAACAAAGTTTGAAGGGCCGGCCCAATGGTGCAGCAGTTAATTTCGCACGTTCCACTTTGGTGGCCCCGGGTTCACCAGTTCAGATTCAGGGTGCGGACTACGTACCACTGGTCAGGCCATGCTGCTGCAGGCATCCCACATATAAAGTAGAGGAAGATAGGCATGGATGTTAGCTCAGGGCCAGTCTTCCTCAGCAAAAAAGAGGAGGATTGGTGACGGATGTTAGCTCAGGGCTAATCCTCCTCAAAAACAAAAACAAGAACGAAGTTTGAGAGATACAGGATATCTACATAGTCTCAAAATACCTTCCCCAAGACAGGTTTTAATTACAAAGGAAAAAGTAGCAACTTTACAGTGGAGAAACCCAGCAGAGATCACCTTAACCACGTGATCAAGGTTAACCTCACCAGTAGCAAGAGATGTTGACATGCTCCTGTCGTGTTCTTGCCAAAAGTGCCAAACCTCAATCTAATCATGAGAAAATACCAGACAAACCCTTATTAAGGGATGATCTATGAAACAACTAATGAGTCTTCTTCAAACATGTCAAGGTCATGAAAGACAAGAAAACACTGAGGACCTGTTTACATGTTGGAAGAGACTAAAGAGACATGACAACTAAACGCAACATGGTAACCAGGGACAGGAACAGAACATTAGTGGAAAAAGTGATGAAATCTGAATAAAGGCTGTAGTTTACTTAATAGTATGGTACCAACATCTGTTTCTTAGTTTTGATCATTGCGTCATGGTTATGCAAGAAGTTAACATTAGGAGAAACTGAGTAAAGGGTATATGGGACTCTGTACTACTTTTGCAACTTTGCTGTATATCTCAAATTATTTCAAAATAAAAAGTTAAGGGGCTGGCCCTGTGGCTGAGTGGTTAAGTTTGCACGCTCTGCTGCAGGCAGCCCAGTGTTTCGTTGGTTCGAATCCTGGGCGCGGACATGGCATTGCTCATCAGACCACGCTGAGGCAGCGTCCCACATGCCACAACTAGAAGGACCCACAACAAAGAATACACAGCTATGTACCAGGGGGTTTGGGGAGAAAAAGGAAAAAAAAAAAAAAGTTAAAAAAGTCGCCCAGCACACTGGGCAAAGACTATGCCTGTCCAAGACGCTCTGCCTGAATAGCTAGGGGTGAAGGTGGGGGTCTGAAGCACCCACCCCTTCCTTTATCCCAATGCTCGGCTTCATCGCCCCCACCATTCATCTTGAATGTATCGGGGCTAATCTCATTTTGCCCTTTACATCTTTTTATGGCGGTTACTACAAACCCCGCCCCCAGACTCCCAAGTCATGCTGGCTCCCTAACTCCAGGGCCCACAAGGCTCCTAGTCTGTGCCATCTTTCATCCCTCCCAATTCCCAAAACGCGGCCACTGTGTCCCAGCACGATGATAATGATCAGGGCGCAGGGCCCCTGCCACGCTGATACTGACGCCATTACCAGCAAATTTCCCCATAAATATTCAACCTATGCTAAAACCTGGCTCTCTGCAGAGGATGACATGTTGCCTGCAGCTCTGTCAAGTGCTGGTGGTTCTTCCTCCCTTCACCGGCCTTGGAGGTGGAGAAGAGATTCTTTGCTACTTTCAGACCATTCGGCCCCCTCTTCCCTACAAGCCCCCAGCTTCGAGTTTCACGTTCAGGTTACATCACTCACTTGCAAATTTTCTGTACATTCGAAATTATACAAAAATAAAAAGTATCAAAAAATATCCTTCCCCCATCATCTACCACCCCCTTCTTTTGTTCCCCTTTGTAACAAAATTTCTGGAAAAGGCTGTTACGGCGTCTAATTCCACCCTCCTGTTCCCTCTAAAAACCCAGTCTAAACCAGGGGCTTTTGTTTCTAACATCCCACTGACAATGTTCTCATCAAGGTCCTCCAGACAGAATCGTAATTCTTAGTCCTCTGGCAGCGCAGTCTAACTCAGTTGGTCATGCCCTGCTCTTCACACAGCTTCCAGAACTCTGTGCTCTCCCGGTTCCTCGACTTTCCGCCCCCCCTTACTCCTATCCCCTTAATGAATGTTAGAGTGGCTCAGGGCTCAGTCTTTGGTCTTCTCTTCTGTCTACACTCATCCAATTGAAAAATCTCCTTCCCGTTTCATGACTTTAAAATATGACCTATACCAGAACCCCCTGGAGGGCTTGTTAAAACAGATTTCCCGGTGCCATCTGTGGTTTCTGATTCATGAGGTCTGCAGTGGGGTCCCAGAATTCACATTTCTAACAAGTTCTCAGGTGATGCTGATGCTGCTGGCCTGGGAACAGCATGTTTAGAGCCACTGGTCAATGCTGACAATTCCCAGATTCTAATCTCTAGCCAGACCTTTCTCCCTAATACCATACTCATACATCCACTTGCTTACCCAACATTTCCACTTGGAAGTCTGACAAAGTTCTTAAAATTTTTAAGCCAGTCTGAACCCCCCAAACTTCCTCTTTCTTTTCCATTTCAATTGATGGCAACTCTGTCTTTCCAGTTGCTCAGACTAAAAACCATCATTGATTCCTCTGCTGTTCTTATACCCATATCCAATCCATCAGAAAAACATGCTGGCTCTACTCTCTTAAGCCCATATGCTCGAGATTCTACATTCAGAATCGGACCACTTCATACCACCTCCTCTGAAAATACCCTGGTCCAACCACCATCATCTCTAACTTGATTAGAAAAGCCATCACTACAGACTGTTCTCAACCTAGCAGCTGGTAGGCTCCATTTAAAAATGCTTAGTTGGATCACGTCACTCCAGGCTGCTGACACCCTCATTTTACTCGGAGTAAAAGCAAAAGTCCATATCAGAGTCCACCAGCCCAACGCCATCTGGTCCCCATTACCCCATGATCTCCTTTCCTACAGCTCTCCCATGCTCCTTCCGCCAGTTGGTATCCCTGCTATTCTCTTACTTGCCACATACTCCTTCCTCAGGATCTTTGCTCTAGATGCTCCCTTGCATGGGCTGTTCATTCCCCAGATTCCAGCTTGGCTGACATCCTCACCTCCTTCAAGGCTTGGCTGACGTCTCACCTTCCCCCCCTTTTTTTTTTTTTTGAGGAAGATTAGCCCTGAGCTAACATCTGCCGCCTCTTTGTGCTGAGGAAGATTGGCCCTGAGCTAACATCTGTGCCCATCTTCCTCTACTTTATATGTGGGACGCCTACCACAGCATGGCTTGCCAAGCAGTGCCATGTCCATACCTGGGATCCGAACCAGCAAACCCCGGGCCATCAAAGAGGAAAGTGTGCACTTAACCGCTGGGCCACGGGGCCAGCCCCCATGAAGTCTCACCTTCTTGTGAGAGCTCCTCTGACCATCCCATAAGTACTGTAACCCCTGCCCTCATTCTCCTAACCTCACCCTATTGTTCTTTGTCCTTAGCACTCACCACCACTCACATGTTCTCCCATTTACGGATGCATTAGGTTTACTGTCTTGCCTTCTCTGCTACAAGGATCTCTGTCTATTTTGCTCACTGAGTATCCCAAGCACCAAGAACAATAACCAGCACAAGGAATGCTGAGTAAATATTTGTTTAGTGAATAAATTCCAGGTCCTGTGAATCTGGGATAGATGAATGGCAGGACACAGGTCACACTTGTTTTTAAACTGGCAGGACTACCACCTTTTACTACCTGGGAAAAACCCTTAAACCCAAACCCGGACAGCAGGCCTGGACAGGGACCAAGGGCTGCGGAAGCCACTCCTGGCCTGTCAGTCAGTCCACGTGTCATCTGACCCTCGGAGGCAAACCTCCTCCTCTGGGGCACATACAGGCTAACCCCATCCTTTAGGATCAGGAGAGCCCACCGATAGTGTGCAAGGACTTCCTCAGGGAGGGCAGTGTGCTGAAACGCTGACACCACGGTTGTGCCTGGTGCTTTTGTACATTATCTCATTTAATTTTCCCAACTATCTAGCTGAAGTTTCCATGATTGCTCTTCTACAGATGAAGGAAACAAGACTCTGAGGAGTTGAGGCACTTGTTTGAGACACACTCTACCGAGTGGTGGATCTCAGACTCCAGTGCAAGTCAGGCTGAGAGGGGAAGCCCATTCTTGGTTTACCTCAGTTGTCCTGGGAGGCCTCAGCAACTGGAGATATCTACCCGTGAGGCCCTTCTGGCTGCCCAGGAGAGCCCTGCGCCCAGGTCCTAGCTCGACTGCCCTCTCCTCTGGCTTTCCACCAAAGCCCCACCTGGATATGGTGACGAGACAGGCGGAAAATCTCCTGGGCCATCAGCAAGGTCTTTGAGTCCATCACCAGGTACAGCAGATGGAGGAGGGCAAGGAAGCCTGCTCCCCTCAGATCTGTGGCTGGATTTGCTCCTATAATAGAAACCATGGGGAAATTGAGGGTGACGGTGAGCAATGCTTCACGGAGTCCCTGCTCCTGTGAGCTTCAAAGACATGGTTCCCTTCATTACAGGCCGAGTGGGGAGACTGGACTTCCACCTCTGCCTGACTGTAACGAGGTGTCCTTAGCTCCACCAGGGTGGGTCAGAGAAGTGGGGAGCTGGAACTTTTATTTCTCTCTAGTGCTACGGAGGCCCCCACCCCCTCTGAGATGTCAGTGGAGGCTACATGGAAAGAGTAATAAGGCACCTCCACCTCTTCCAGCCAGTGGTATCAGTGGAGGCCAAATGGGGTACCTGGATTTCCACCCCCAGCCAGCAGTAATCAGGTGACATCCCCCTTCCACCACTGGTTTGGTGTCAGAGGATACCTGCTAAAGTAGAAGATTTATGGGGCCGGCCCTGTGGTCGAGTGGTTAAGTTTGTGCGCTCTGTTTCGGCGGCCCAGGGTTTCACTGGTTCGAATCCTGGACGTGGACATGGTACCGCTCATCAGGCCATGCTGAGGTGGCGTTCCACATGCCACAACTAGAAGGACCCACAACTAAAATATACAACTACGACTGGGGAGATTTGGGGAGAAAACGCAGGAAAAAAAAAGAAGATTGGCAACAGTTGTTAGCTCAGGTGCCAATCTTTAAAAAAATAAATTAATTAAATAAAATAAAATTGAAGATTTAAAGAAGATCCAGAGTGTCATTATGTAATATCCCAAATGTCCAGGATTCAATAAAAAATCATTTGTTACACCAAGAACCAGGAAAATCTTGTTTGACTGAGAAGACAATCAATAGACAGTAACAGTGAGACAACTTAGATGTTGGAATTCTCGGACAAGGATTTTAAAGCAGCCGTTGTAGGCAGAATCATGGCCCCCCAAAGGTCCTCGTCCTAATCCCCAGAACCTATGAATATGTTACACTGCATGGCAGGGGGAATTAAGAGTGTAAGCAGAGTTAAGGTTGCTAATCAGCAGATAGGGAGATTATCCTGGGTTAGCTGTGTGGCCCAAGGTATCAGAACGGTCCTTAAATGTGAAAGAGGGAAATGGAAGCACAGAGTCAGAGAAAGAGATGTGAGGACAGAATCAGGCTCAGAGAGATGCTATGTTTCTGGCTTTGAAGAAGGAGGAATGCAAGTGGCCTCTAGAAGGGGGAAAAGGCAAGGAAATGGATTCTCCCCAGAGTCTCCAAACAGGAACATGGCGCTGCTGCCACCCTAATCCCACCCCAGTGAGACCTGACAGACTTCTGAACCACAGAACTAGAAGATAATAAATTCATGTTGTGGGGCTGGGCCGGTGGCCTAGGGGTTAAGTTTGTGCGCTCCACTTTGGCAGCCCATGGTTGGTGGGTTTGGATCCTGGGTGTGGACCTATACGCCACTCATCAAGCCATGTGGTGGTGGCATCCCACATACAACATAGAAGAAGACTGGCACAGATGTTAGCTCAGTGCCGACTCTCTCAGCAAAAAGTAAAAAAAATTTGTGCTGTTTTAAGCCACTAAATCTGTGGTAATTCATTGCAGCAACAATAGAAAATTACTATAGCAGCTATCATAAAAATGCCTTTGATAAGCAATTACAAATACACTTTGAAAAAATAGAATGTGTCCATAAAGAAATATCAGACATAATAAGGCAGCGCCAAATAGAAAATTCAGAACCGAAAACAAAATAACTAAAATTAAAAACTTGCTGGGTGGGCTCAACAGCAGAATAGAGACAAGAGAGGAAAGAATCAGTAAACTTAAACATGGAAAAATAGAAATTATCCAATCTGTTGAATGACAGGAAAAAACAAAACAAGACAAAATAAACAGAACCTTGGAGATCCCTGAGCTATATCAGAGATCCAAAAAAGGGAAAAGAGCCTCTGGGACCTGTGGAACAGTAACAAAAGATCCAGCATTTGCGTCATCAGAATCCACAAGAGAGGAGAAAGTGTGAGGCTGAAAAAAGCACTTGAAGTAATAATGGCTGAAAATTCACCAAATTTGGCAAAAGACATAAACCTACAGATTCAAGAAGCTGTGCAAACCCCACATAGGCTAAGCCCAGAGAAATCCACTCTAAGACACATCATAGTCAAACTCCTGCAAACTAACGACAACAACAACAAAAAGATCTTAAAAGCAGAGACAGAAAAACAACTCCTTGCTTATCAGGGAGAAATTATTCAAATGACAGCAAATTTCTCGTGAGAAACTGTGCAGCCCAGAAGGAAGGAGCACATTTTCCAAGTGCTGAAAGAGAAGAACCGTCAACCTGGAATTCTATATCCAGAGAGATTATCCTCCAGGAGTGAAGAGGAAATCAAGACCTTCTATCACCAGCAGGCCTGCCTTAGAAAGCGGCTAAAGGAAGTTCTTGAAACAGAAAGGAAATGCTAAGACAAGGAATCTAACCCTGGAATATCAGAAAGGAACAAAGAACAATGGAAAGAGCAAATATATGGGTAAACACAACAGACTTTGTGTCTCCTCTTGAGCTTTTTAAATTGTTTGATGGCTGAAAAAAAAACCGTAACACTGATGTGACTCTCAGTGTACAATGAGGAGAGATTTAAGACAATAATATTATACATGAGATAAACAATATACATTATAGATAGTAAAGGGACTTAAACTTGTCTATACCAAGAGACTACCAATTAATCATGGGTTCATAAAGTTTCTGGGTTTTTTTTAATGGAACTAATTTAAGACTTTGAAACAATTTTTTTTCTTTTTGCAGGGAAAGATTTGCTCTTTGAGCTAAGATCTGTTACCAATCTTTTTGTCCCCAAAGCCCCAGTGCACAGTTGTATATCACAGCTGTAAGTCCCTCTAGTTCTTCCATGTGAGCTGCCACCACAGCATGGCTACTGACAGATGAGTGGTGTGGTTCCACGACCAGGAACTGAACCCAAGCCAGAACCACCCCCAAGTGGGAAGAGTGCTGAACTTTAATCCCTAAACTGGCTCTGAAGTTTCCTTTTTAAATTAAGATATTTTCCTATTCTTTTTTTTTTTCTGCTTTATTTCCCAACCCCCCCCGCCGTACACAGTTGTATATTTTAGTTGCAGATCCTTCTAGTTGTAGGATGTGGGATGCCACCTCAACGTGACCTGACGAGCAGTGCCATGTCCGCGCCCAGGATCCGAACCCTGGGCCGCCGCAGTGGAGCGCGCGAACTTAACCACTTGGCCACAGAGCCGGCCCCTTTTCCTATTCTATACAAATGTAATTTGATACGATTTTGGAAAAAACAGTAGCACAATCCAAAAACAGGTGAAATCATTTTGTTTCAAAAAATAAAATAACACAAAACAAAATTTTCATCAATATTAAAAGAAAAGAGGAAAAAGAAAAAACTAGACTCCAAATCATATCACTCCAATGGTTTCCATCTCACTTAGAGCAAATGTCTTACGAGGACCTGCAAGGCCACAAGTGAACTTTTGGCCTGTCACTGTCTTTCCACTTCAGCCATACTCCTTGCTATTTCTCAAACAGAGTAAGCAAGCTCCACCTCAGGGCCTTTGTATTTGCTGTACCCTCTTCCTGGAATGCTTTCCCCCAGATATCCTGTCTCATGGCGCTGGCTTGACAGGAAGAGGACTCTGGGCTCTCACTCTAGTCCTGGAATCAAGGATCAAGGAAAGGAAGATGAACCATTCCTCTCTCTTACCCTGAAAGCCCAGATCTTCCCAGTGGTCTCCGTGGAGGGCACAGTCAAACCTGGAGCCGGTCAGCTTCTTGTAGATGGTCTGGAGGACTCTGCCATGCACTGGGTCTTGGCTATCCAGGCCACCTGCCCCCAAACACACCCCCATTCTCTGTCAGATTGCCCCTCAGGGGAGGACTGAGTGCTTCTCAGAGAATAGTTCAGCCAAGATAGATCTGGACTGTGCTCAAGACACCCTGTTCTCCCACATTTTTACCCTTCAGCTCTCACGCTCCCCCACAGTGTGGTATATGCAAGACCCCTGGCTTAGCCTCAGCAACAGGGTGGGCAAACAGTGCTCTCTGCGTGACCATATGCGCAGGGCGTGCCTTGCGGCCGCACCTGTGTACTCACACTGAGCAATGGTCAGGACCAAGTCCCTCTCTTCACGGAGGCCCTGGTGGAGCTTTGGAGGCCCGAAGAGGCAGTGCCGGAGGGCAGCAAGCCCAGTCCTTCGAATAGTTGGCTGGATTCTTTTCTGGGGAAGAAGTTGCAGGCAATAGGCAGAGTGCTGGGTTCACCTGCTTTAACGAACTTACCGTCAGGCTCAGTACAGGGGCCGTTCTTGCAGAAAGTAGCTCCCTCCCACTCACTGGCTGGGCCAGCGGAACGGGCGGAAGCTGAGAAGCACCTGCTGACTCTCTGGAGACAGGCTCCTCCAGCTCCCAGGTTCTTTGTAAGCAGAAAGAGACGTTCCTAAACATAGCCGTTATCAGCCAGTTGTCTGCATTTGGTCCTTTAAGCTTTTCCAGAAGTACCTATTCCACTGACTGCCAAGAAGGCTGGAGGCGGCTCGCGGTGGGGACTGCCCCATGTGGTCTGACAGAAACCCACGGTTTCCCAGCAGGGCCGCTTCTACCCTTTCTATGTCTGTCTCTGTCTCGCTCCATAAAGGACATAAATTATGCCGTCCTCTCAGCTTCCAGGATGAGAGAGCCAGCGGGGAGCGGAGTTCAGGGGCCACCTTTAGGAACTAGATACTTCCGAGGGGTAGCTGAAGCCTTCCGTCCCTTCCACATCCAGCCCCTCCTAAAGCACGTCACGCCGACTTCTCACTGCTCAGGTCTTAGACAGTCTGACTGTGGTAGCTTCTGGCTTTCTGGCTCCTATAAACCAACTCAATTCCCGTCTTTGCAGCCTCTCTCTTTTGAACCAGGTTTTAGGTTGAAGATCTGAAATCGCATTCCTCTAAACTTACTCATGGCCACTCAAGATGCCCCAGAAAGCCCGCCAGCTTTTATTTTCCTCAGCGTTCCTTCTTTTTCCAATCCCATATTTTTTAAAATTCCCAAATAACTTCCAGTTCCTTGAGGGAGCGGGAGATCTTCCTACACTGGTCGTGAATTACTCAGCTCTCTGGTCGGGTTGCCTTGCTTCCCCAAGGAACTACCTGGCATTTGATTCCAGACCTCCCCCTCCCTAAGGGGGAGAGCACGGAGCAGCTACACGGACCCCTGGATGACAGGGCCATAAGAGCTCTGGGGGCACAGTCCCAGAAAGGCCACCGGGGCCCTGCACAAAACAACAGTATTTGGATACCCAGGATCCCGTGTCCCAAGATTTCTTAGGTGAGACAGGGCCCTCAACTGGAAGCTTCCATCTTGCTTGCCCAGTGCCCTAACCTGGTGGGAGAGAAACCTGGCTCCTGGAAAGAAGGTGCTCTGCTTGCAACCCCAAACCTCCCTCCTGGCATACCTTGAAGGAGGAGAGGTCCACGGTCTGGAAATGCTGCAGGGCCTCACTGAAGGAGATTAGCTGCCCGGGCTGGTCTGAGCTGGCCTGGCTCCCTGTGGAAAAAGGAAAGACACTCCAGGTAGTCATTCTGTCAGCAAATGTTTCAAGGGCCTGCTGGTTGTCACCTCTAAGCCAAGCACTGACTTCCAGCTGCAAACATCAGACACCTATGGCTCCAACCAGTCCTCCTTCAAGGAGCTCACATTATCTGCTGGGCCAACACCCTTTTTAGACTGGGCTGTTCAGAGGCTTGCTCTGCTAACCTCTGCAGTGAGCAGGGACAGATCTGCCCGGCACGGGGCTCCCTAAATTTCACTCCTCTGTGAGGGGGCAGGCCACTGACTAGAGTAGGTTCCCATGTAGGAGGGTGCCAAGGTTAGTACAGGGGCCTTTCCTAATTTCTACTTTGCCCCTTTCTCACACCCTGTATAGGAATGACCCCCTCTCCATCCTTTGTTATGGTTCACTGAGAATTAACTTAGCAGGTAGCAATATAGGTGATGACTGACACAGTCCACCATAACATCTCTCTAGGAGCTTAAGTGGGGCTCAGTAGATTTGGGTCCTAGTTCTATCCTCCTATAGCTCCTTCCAAACCTCTCAGAAATGGACGTGAGCCAATTTTTACACAGCCCTCAGAGCCTTCCAGCAGATGGTTTCAGCCCCATCTCCAGGGACTTCCTTGTGCAGTGAACAACCTATTCAACCTTACGCAGGTGCCCTGGCTGCCTCCTCCACCCATCTGCTCAGCCTCATCACCCTGCAGAAGCTGACCCTGACCAAGGTCTCCCTGTCTTCTCTGAGGGCTTGGTAGATGGCAGCCCTTTCCCATGGCGTTCATTCCCACTTCCTCCAGAGGCAGAATGTCATCATCTTTGGATTTGGAAAAGATATTTCACTCTATATCACGTAGCTAAAATAAGAACAACCAGGGATTCTGCCTCCTAATCCCAGGGTCACAGAAACATTAGCCACACGTGTGGACGGTGCTGTACTGGTGGCTGGGCTGTGGAGTCAGCACCGTTCCTGCTGTTACCTGTCTCTGGCTGGATGTTGTCCACAGCTTCCCATTCTTCTTGGGCTCTGAGCACCTCTGCACTCACAACTGCAATAGTGAGAAAAGGAGACCCTCTGAGATCTAGGCATGTCTGGATCACTGTCACGGCCCTCACCCTACCTGACTGCCTTGGGTCTTGTCACCTCAGATCCCCTCTTCACACGGCTGCCAGAGGGAGCTTTCAAAAAGGCAGATCTGATATCACTCCCCTGCTCAAAACCCTCCAGAGATTCTCCGTAACTCTCAAGAGAAAACCCAAACACTTCAGCCCAGTGTCTAGTACCTTCACAATCTGGATCCTTCCTACCTCTCCAGCTCTGCCCCAGGGCACAGAGAACTACCTGCAGTTTCTCAGCGCCCCGAGTCTTTGGTGCCTTTGCACAGACTGCTCTCCCTCTGCCGACAGTCAGCACCCTGGTCCTCTCCCCTTCACCTCCAACCCCTGCTGGGGTAGCTCCTTCTCATCCTTCAGTTGACTCTGATATCGGTCTCACCTGGATGCCTTCTTTGACCTCACTAGTTTGGATTTGGAGCCACTTCTCTGGGAGACCCGGACACCCAGTACTTCCCACAATGTTGTCACGGTCTCTCCCACTGCACTGATAGCTACGTGAGGGCAAGTAATCCAGAACCTAGCTCAGTGCCTGACACATGAAAGGTGCTCAACAAACATCTGATGAATGAATGAAAGCACAATAAAAGGGGAAAAAAGCAGAAGAAAAGCAGCAAGATAGGTTCTCTATTGCCACCACACAGCCCTTTTCTCCAAACCACAGCTGTTCACTCTCTAGTCTGAATTGCGAGTGGCATGTCCTGTCGTTGGCTTTCCTCTTTGCCAGAGAACATTCACAAATAATGAGAAGGATGGAGAGACTGCAGTTCAATACCCAAGCCATGATCCCCCGCAGCCCCGGTAGTAAAAGTAGCTTAGGACTGCTCCTCTCCGCCTTGCAGTCTTAGCTGAGGATATCACATGACAATTAACTGTCGTGAAAGTACACTTGCAAATTAAATAAAGTGCTACCAAAACCTCAAAACACTAACAGATAAAGAGAATGAGCAAGTTGCTGGGAAGCAGTAGACGATAGCTGCTGAAAGGCCACCTCTAGAGCCACGTTGCTGGAATATTTCCTCTCCACCGCTTACCAGCTGTATTTTTTTGGCCAAGTTCCTTAACCATCTGTAATCACTCATGGGACTGTTGTGAGAATGATCTATCTCCTTAACTGCTTAGGGGAGTACATGGCCCAAAGGTAAGTGCTCAATACATGTTAGCTGGTATTACTGACACAGTGGTGGGTTTGGGTCTAGTGGGGCAGTGGATAGTGGTAGCAGGTGAGATGCATCCAGGGTCCTGAATGTCTGGACCTCTAGGAAACTCAATCTTGCCAGCCCAGTCTGGGGTAGCAGACACTGAGCCTCAGGACTTCCAAGCTGGATAACTTCAACAGAATACAGAATATTCGACCTTGAATGGCGAAGAAAACAAAACTTACTTCCAGCATGCTGGACCCTTGGGAGATTAAAAGGAGGGACAAAGCGGCTGAACAAAAGGAGTGGAGTGGACAGCACAGTGACTGCTCATCATGACACTGAAGAGGAGCTCCTCGCCTCACCTATGCCCAGCTTTCTTGACTCTTCACCCTTCAGATCCTCATTACATGCAACTTGTCAATCTCACCCACACACCCTCAGCCTCATACAAATTGATGAAATGTTGTGAGTGGGGGCAGAAACCTCACCAGCAAGGGCCTGGGAATTTGCTATGACCGGAGGGAAAGTCAACAGAAAGCACAAGGTCTCAACTAGCAATTGCAGTCTGGTGCCTAAAAACTGGAGACAAACGTGCAATCCACGTAAGAGCATCTCTTTCCTTTCCTCTTGGAACCAGGCAGACTCCTCCTGCATCTGAAGATGATCCTGACATAAATACTATTTTCCCCTTGACCAAGAGAAGAAAATGGAGGCATAACACAGATCTTCAGGATAATAAACACAGCTCACATCAGTACAGTTCTTTTTTTTTCTTTTTTCAACTGCCTCCCTTATTTAGGTTCTCTTCCACTTATTCAGAGAGTAAACAGCATTGCTGCCTTAGTCAGCCTATTAATTTAAATTAGCTGAGAGCAATCTGAAAAAAATTGTAATTATTTAATATGATTAAAAACATCTGGCACATAAATGCCAGTTGTACTGAAATATAAAATATTTTGGCACGAATAAATGTTAAGTTTGTCATGACACGGTAAAGACAAAAGTCCATGAAAGGAAACTTCATAAACCTCCAAAGAATTTTTCTGTTAGAATATTTTTAACAAGCCCCAAATTTCTGGAAATTACATTTTCAGTTTGCAAAATTTAAAGTTAACAATATATACCAACGAGAACTCACTATGACTTACATTCTGTGAGCTAAGCACTTCACACTATCTCATTTAATCCTTATAAAATCCCCATGATACAGGTTCTGATACAATTCCTGTTTCATTTTTTAATTTTTTTTAAGATTGGCACCTGAGCTAACATCTGTTGCCAATCTTCTTTTTTTTTCCTTCTTCTCTCCAAAGCCCCCCAGTACATAGTTGTACATTATACTTGTAAGTCCTTCTTCGTTGTGCTATGTGTGACGCTGCCTCAGCATGGCTTGATGAGCGGTGCCATGTCTGTGCCCAGGATCCAAACTGGAAAAACCCTGGGCTGCCGAAGCAGAGTGCGCGAACTTAACCACTCGGCCACGGGGCCGGCCCCCAATCCCTCTTTTATAGATGAGGAAAGTGAGAGCTGGAAAGGTTAAGGAATGTGCTCAAGGTCATGTAGTGGTGGGTAAGAGAGCCAAGGTTTAAACCAGAGATACCTGACTCCAGAACTGGTGTTTCCTAATTAGTGAATGTGCCTTTCTGTGTAACAAATAAGGAAGTGGAATGAGCTTTAAACATAGTATAGGAAAGAACCAGGTAAAGTAGATAAAATAAGATATGTTTTCAGTCTTTTCATATACACTGTCTTGTTTCATTATCATTATATCTCTCTGAGGATAAAGGAGGTATTAATATTTCCGCTGCAGACACAGAGATTTCATGATTTGCCCAAAGGCACACGGTAAGCCACTAGGAGGGCTAGCAGGGATAGATCAGAACTCAGGTCTTTCAACTCCTGACTCAGGGTAGTTTCTAATTTTCCTTGAAGAATGCTAAATCTATAAAACTGTAGGACAAGTAGTGAGAGAAAGTCAACTGGTGAAAAGTAGATTCATGGGGAGCTCTGAGTTGGGTCCCACCCAGGCTCCAAGGGCCCTGATGGGGACCTTACCGCCTGGCTCCCATCCATCAGCTTCCGCTGTCAGGGCCCGGAGGATGCTGTGGTTCTTCAACTCTGAGATCTGTAGGGGCAGCTGACCTTTAGCGTAATGGCAGAATGCACATCCCCCCATCCACACCAGCACGTCCCACCCGCTGTACTGAATGTCCTTGAAAGGGAGGCCAGAAGGATCTAGTCTTTCTCAGTAGGTCGATTAAAGTCAATCATAAAGAGAGGCAGATGGAAAACTCCAACTATGATGTAGAAGCTGGATGATATGGGGACAAGTATATGCCCTCCTTGAAAAATAAACAAAAATTCACACAGCTCAGTTGAGACTGTGGTGTGCCTTTGGCATTCCCACTAGACTTTACATTCTGCTTCATTATAGGAATTATCTCATTAGATAGAGGTTGTTTTCCATGTCTGCGCCCCACGCCTCCTTCCCCCGAGTATGAGCTCCTGGAGGGCAGGGTCTATGCCATCATGTATCCCGGGGGCCTGGAACCACATAGGAGCATTCAAGAAATGTTTGTAAGGCAGGAGGTACTGGGGTGTGGGTGATACGTACAGGAAGTCCTCTGAAAGCCAGAGGAGCACTGTTGTCTGCGTCATATGGTGGAGAGCACCCAGCACACACGCTTTCAACCTGTAAGACAAACCAGGGTCAACCTCCCAGGCACAAATCAGTCACTCAAAGATGACAGCTTAAATGTTGCACCTTCTCCCAATACCACACACAAAAAATGAACTCCTCACAAGTCACCTACAAGGAATACTATAAGGGAAAACTTCTGTTTCATCTAGTCTTAAGAAAAACCTCAAAAAGTTTAGTTAATGTTATCTCAAAAACCTTATACAGATGTCTTGGCTCTGCTAAAGGTCTCAGGGCTCTGAGGAAGCAGAGTTCAGCGCCGGCGGTTTCCTCACTTCGGGACTTTCTGCTCAGCCAAATTTTCCCCTTATTAGAGCTTCACAAAACCACTTGACCAACTTTTTGCAACTCATATCATCAACACAGGACTAATTTTCCTAATATGTTAAAAAAAAATCCTATGCATCAGTAAGGGAAAAAAACCCCAACCTAGTAGAAAAATTGGCATGGATATGGACACCTTACACAAAAGGAAATATAAATCATTCTTAAACATATGAAAAAGTGTTCAACCTTACTCATAATAAGAGAAATGCCAAATAAATGTCTGAGAATGTTTTCACTTATCATATTATCAAAGATCAAAAAGTATGATAACACTCTGTGTTGGCTCAAGTGCCAAGTGTTAGAACACCCTGGAGAATAAATGGTAACCGCTTCTAGAGCTTGACAATACCTGATAAACTCACACGTGCTTTGCACATTTTGGGCCTGGGTAGCAGCACTAGCCTATGTGTCCTTTAAACCATGTGTCCTTAAGGCTCCTTGTCTGAGCTACATGCCAGCACTCACAATGATAACAGCCCTGGGCTTGGCCAACCCAGCTGTTTTCTCATGGAAGAGTTAGCACAAAGACCCTCGCAGTCTGAGAGAACACAGATGCCCTCTAGGGGGGGCTCTGGTCCTTGGAACGCAGGTCATACAGGGATGACCCCCCTTGGCAAGCACACAGCTTTTGTTCCTCTGCCTACTCAAGCAAGCTTCTCTCAGGGAGCCGTAGCGGTGTCCATTTCTGTCCAGTCGGCCACCACTGGACCTTCCCTGTAAGTAACTCCCATTAAACCCATATGTCTCGTTCGCTGTCTCTGGGTCTTTTCTTTGGTCTCTCGGCAACCTATCCCACACTACTCCCCCAGATGGGCATGTGGTGGACCAGCCTGCAATTGCATTCATGCACAAAATGACACACAGTGTCATTCACAGAAGCACTGTTTATAATAACAAAAGGCTAGAAAGACCCTAAATGTCCACTAAAGGACTAATTAAACAAATTAAAGCATACCCACTTAATGAGCTGCTATATAGCCATAAAGAAGATTAAGAAAGTGCTTTATGGACAACATGGAACAATCTTCATGATACATTAAGTGAAAAAGCAAAGGGCAAACTATACACTATTTTATGTATATCATATATATATAATAGTGTATACACTATTTTAACATTTGATTTTTAAAAAATACATAAACCTATTTGCTTGTCTCTGCAGAGACTATTTCCAGAATTATACCCAAAGAAATAGTAACTTTGCCTCCAGCAGGAAAACTGGGTGGCTGGGGGACAAGGGTGAGAGGCAGTTTTTTCCACCATATGTACACCCTCTGTACTTTTTGGAGGTTCAACCATGTGAATGTGCTGTTTTCTCTAAAATAAATAAAAGAAAAAATAACAATTAAAAGAAAATAACTATAAAGGAATCATCGCTTATGTCAAGGCCCTGGAATGCTAGATTATTCCGTTACTCTAATCCCTCCTACATATTTTTGCCAACTGACAAACACTTCTTAAACACAGCTTTGATTTCTTTATGCCCTGGATGCAAGAATGGATCCCTAAACACACCACAGCTGAGCTCACTCCTCCATAACTGGCCTCACGATGTCTAAGCACTATTATTTCTCACACTGGCTTCAGTTCCTCTCGCCTCCATCCCTTGGGCCGTGTGGTTTTCCTTCAGAATACACCACCTCCACCTGCTCTGTGTCCTCTGGCCCCTTTGAGATCAGTTCCATCTCCTTAAGGTGGCCTACCTTACCAACTGGGCTACAATGGTCTCTCGCCTCTGTAAGTCCTATAGCCCTTCTGTATGCAGTACAAGTTCCTCTGCAAAACGCCTATCTCCCCACTCAGACTCTGCTGCTTTGAGCCAGGAATCTTCTCTTACACTTCTTTTCAATTTCCCACACCCATTAGTACTAGGCACAAAATCTGTCCTCATCTTTTCTCATGATGTTCTCATACGTTCCTATGGTGATTAGCCATGCTGACCAACTCCCTGCAGCAGTCTGTGTACTCAGGACTCATTTCATCGTGCCTTTCCCTCTCCAGTTCAGACCCTTCCAGCATCCAAAGACCTCCCTCTGGAAGAACAGTTCGCCTGTCTTAGTATACTGAACAAAACCTTCCTGGATTCCCAAAGCAAAGGCTTTGTCCCAGTTCTGGGCACTGGAACCCACAGGCTCCACTCAAGACCCTTTCTGAGCAAGGTAGTGAGACAGGTAAGGAATGCAGAGTCAGTTCCCAGGCTCACACAAAGACACATCTCATTAAACATAGAGCCCTGAGGACAATCAGGTCAAAGCAAAGCATGTATTTGACAGAGAAAAGGTCAGTAAGCTAAACAACTCAATTGACGAAACACAAATCTCTTGCCAGAATCTTCATTGACATCCCCCTCCCACTCGAGCAAATCCAAACCAAAGTTCTACGACCCACTTGGAAAGCCAATTGACCCAGAGATGAAGAGAAGATTCTTCTACTAGAAGCAAGAGAACAATAATGAGCATTTTCCTAAACATTTCTAAAGCCTCACATTCTCTTGCCAACTATCTATTGCCGATATCTGGCAACTATCTCTTGCCAATAATAGGAATTGTTATTACTATTTTTTTTATTAATGATATATCCCAAACCAACATCTTCTTTCCCAAATAGAAGTGCTTGCTTACCTGTCCGTCTCTTAATTCTTTTTCATTATGGAAAGAGCAAGATTTTTCATTCATGACTCAAAATCATTTGTTCCAGTGAGCTTTGACCTTGGGCTCAGAAAGGCGTTTAAAAATAAAGTCTGAGGTTAGAAGCTACGGGGGGAGCCAGAGATCCGACTGCTCTACCTTTGCCTTCCTTCTTGGTAGTCATTCAGACTAAGGGCAAGAAAACAGTCCCTTTGTGCCATCACCAGCATGTAGGAGGTTTCTGCGAGTACTGAAAGAAGTCCCTGAGGTCTCTGAAGCCTCAGCCCTGCAAAAAAAACAAAACAAAACAAAAACTGGTTTCATCATTCAGTTATGCCTCTGTTGAGAAAAATTGTCTTTAAAAATCTTTAAGCAGGGGCCTTCCCCGTGGCCGAGTGGTTAAGTTCGTGCGCTCTGCTTTGGTGGCCCAGGGTTTCGCCCGTTTGGATCCTGGGCACAGACATGGCACTGCTCATCAGGCCATGTTGAGGTGGCATCCCACATGCCACAACTAGAAGGGCCGACAATTAAAAATATACAACTGTGTACCGGGGGCTTTGGGGAGAAAAAGGAGAAATAAAATCTTAAAAAAAAATCTTTAAGCAGCTGTAAATTTATTCTTAATAAATAAGTAGCTTAAGCAAATGCCTACCTCTTACTACTCATGCCATTGGATGGAAAGAAGGGACGCTTCAGGAGTCTGGGGGCTGGGTTCTCAGTGTCCAGAAGGCAGGAGTACTACTGTAGGGGGTGGGGTCCATTTCTGATAATGAAGTTACTGGGATCTGGGGCAGCTCATGAAAGGGGTGGCACCTTGGCTGGTGGTCTTGGCTGAAGTGCTTAGGCTTTGCTTAGGTCTCTGACACAGGTTGGGTATGGGGGCGCTTCTAATACTAGACTTGGGCCTATGATGGTAGAAACTCAAAAGCAACACAATGCCTACTCTTCCTCAGTTATCACCAATATTGTACACGGGGCAGTTACCTAGACAGTTTGGCTACCTCGAAGTCTTTCATCTCAAGTTGTCCACTTCAGGGAAAGGGCTAGACAAGCCCATACCTCCTCATGTCATCTGGGGCCTCAGCATCTACTTCTGCTTTCGTTCCCTCCTCTTTGACCTCCATGACAGCCTGTGACAAAACACTCCCACATGACCCAACCTTGGGAAGATGACAGGCTGGGATAAGAACAGCAATCTCAGGAGGGCTCTTCTGTTACTGTGCATGAAATGAATCAAGCAGGGTAGAAGTATGACTCCCTTACACACCTGCTAGTGCCTCCGTTCTGGGTGGAGCACTGCTGGGGGCTTCAACAGGCACAGTTACTACCTGAGTCAGAGAAAGAACAGAGCAAAAACTCCGTCAAGCAGGCAAGTACTCGAAGTTACTTCATAACTCCTACCAATACTAGGCAAGTTTCTTGTAGTTGGGCCTGACAAAACAGCCTTCCTATAAAGACGGATCCTTTCCAAATCCAGCCTTTAGGGTGCAACCACTTTAGGCAAGGAGCTACATTAAGGGGTATGATTTTCCAACAGTTTGCTGGAGCTTAAACTCTCTGAACAGGTATTTAATTTAGAAACCGGGTCAATAAATACAAAGGTGCACATAGGTATAACGGTCCTTCTCTGATCCTTTGATCAAGCCCGTGGCTGGGCGGCTCCCGGTCCTCTCACAGCGCCCTCAGGCGCGGGGGCGGGGGGTGTTGCCATGGGAACCCAGCCAGTGGCAACCAGGCCCCCGCCCCAGGCAACGGCATACGCAGGGGGGCGCCGCGGACAAAACTACTGGCAATTTCGGGGGCATGGGGCCGGGCGCTCGCCGGCTGTGACGCGCAGGTCTCAGTAGAGATCTCCATCCCGACACCCAGCCAGCCAGGGGCTGGGTGGGGATTCGGAAAGAAGCTCTCTCACTGCCTGCTGGGGGAAACCGAGGAAAGCAACTTGCCTCATGTCATTCCGCGAGTCCACGCAGAGCGCGGAGCAGAACCCGGCCCTCCTATCTCCCAGTCGGGATTCTCTCTCTGTCCTGCAACGCTCAGCCTTGTCTCGCCCCAGGGCGACCATTTCCTCCCCACATGCCTCTTCCTCAGCGCCCAGGCGACGCCGGACGCGTTCCCAGGGTTACTACCGCTTCCCGGACCCACGTCCCGCTCCCTGCCGGACCACCTCCGCGCATGCGCACAGCGCAGCCCGCGCAGCCTCCCACCGGCCGAGAGAACTACCCCTCCCCGCAGGCAATGGAAACTTCACACTGCCGCCGAAATACGGCGAGCAGAGAGGGTCAATCTGCGCCGGAGTCTTGGCTTCTGGCCAAAAAGACTGTGGCTACTGGGCAGCGGCAGCTGGCTCTGCCCCTGGGCTGGGCAGTACAAATTGACAGCGGCCTCGGAGGCTGGGCGCAGTCGGAGCGGATCCGCTTCTCTATCCGCCGCTCCGGCCGGCGCCATGGGGCTTTCGCTGCTGCTGCTGGCCGCGCTGCTGCTGGCGGTCCTCTTCAAAGTTTACCTGGGGCTCTTCGCGCGCAGCTCCCCGAACCCCTTCTCTGAGGACGTCAGGCGGCCACCCGCGCCCCTGGTGACCGACAGGGAGGCCAGGAAGAAGGTTCTCAAGCAAAGTAAGCGGGAAGGGACCCTGGCGTCCGAGGCTGCGCTGGGACATCCTCGCGGGTTTGCGTTCCCAGTCCGGCAGGGCGAGCCCCTGCCGACTTGAGCCTCAGTTTCCCCATATGTAAAGGGTTGGTGCCAGCCCTGGTGGTCTAGTGTTTACGATTCGGCGCTCTCCCCGCCGTGGCTTGGGTTCGGCTCCCAGTCAGGGAACCACATCATCCGTCTGTCGGTTGTCATACTGTGGTGGCTAAGTGTTGCCGTGATGCTGAAAGCTGTTCCTCTGGTATTTCAAATACCAGCAGGATCACCTATGATGGACAGGTTTCATTCAGCAGAGCTTCCAGACTAGACGGACTAGGAAGGAAGATAGGCCCTGGCCACCCACTTCCGAAAAATGGCCATGAAAACCCTATGAATTGAGCAGAACACTGTCTGATACAGCGTCGGAAGGTGAGAGGATGGCACACAAGGACCCAGCAGGGCTCAGGGCTCTAGGAGTTAGGATTGACTCCAGGGCACTAACAACAGAGTGCTGGGAGGACCTCCTTGCACATGGAGGCGCTCTGCCTTAGTGTCTGCGGCCGGCAGCGGCAGGAGAAAGCCTTCGCCTGGGCAGACCTGGGAAATTCTGGCTTCACAAGTGCTGGCCCCGTCCTCCTCATGCCAAGGTCTTGGCAAAGCCGAGTCCAGGCTCTGCCACTTATTATGGGTGTGGCCCACAGGATAGATAAGAAGAGACCTTTCCCTCAGTTGGCTCTAGGACCTTAACTTTTTCACTTACCCTCCCCACTGCGTTCAGGGTTCAGAGAGGCTGCACAGAAATGTCTTCCAACGTGTGGAGGAAATTGCATTTTGCCCATCAAGTGATTTGACTGTTTATGCCTGGTCCCAACTCATACGGTTGAACCTTGGTTCTAAAACTTTGGGAGGGGCTCAACAGGGTGCCTCAGGCTGAGAGTCGCTCTTGCACTGTCATCTTTAAAACTTATTTTGGGGTTCCTTCTAAGGTGTTTTTTTTTTTGAGGAAGATCAGCCCTGAGCTAACATCTGCTGCCAATCCTCCTCTTTTTGCTGAGGAGGGCTGGCCCTGAGCTAACATCCGTGCCATCTTCCTCTACTTTGTATGTGGGACACCTACCACAGCATAGCTTGATAAGCGGTGCCGTGTCTGCACCTGGGATCTGAACTGCACCTGGGATCTGAACTGGTGAACCCCGGCCACTGAAGGGGAACCGCGAACTTAACTGCTACACCACTTGGCGGGCCCCTCTTCTAAGGTTTTAAAGAAAGAGTTCTCCTGCTTTGAAAAAAAAAAATTGCATCCCCTGTTGGATCTCCAGGGTCCCTCTCACTTATAAATTTTAGAATTCTGTGTGACATTTCTTGCTACACAGTTCGAGACGATACTATTCTAAGTGAAAGGAGCATTAGTCTGAACTTCTGAGATCAAAGTTTTAGCTTGCACTCTGACATTAATTTATTGCATAGCCATTGGCAAGTCACTCCACTTATCTGAGTTGGTCTAAAAATGAGATGACTAGTTCCACTGTATTTCAAACCAGGTTACGATCTATTAGTGAGTGGGTCATGAAATCAAGTGGGTTGCAGTTAGAATAGAATGCAGTAGAATAGAAAATATCAGAGTGCATCATACATAGTTTTGGTAAGTATTGTGAAACTTCTGTTTCAAGTATTTATGTTATATATTTACATATATTCTGATGTAAAATGTATTTTTCACTGTCGGGCTTTCTAAAAACAATTGAAAAGTTAAGTTTACCAAGTTCTCTTGCAGCTTGAAAAATTCCAAATCTCAGTTCTTCGGGAGTGATCTTGAAAGAACAGATTTTGTGTTGGAAGTACCTGTATAGCAGCATGTGCTGTCTAGATTGTCTTGTGTAGATGCTGCCCCCTTAGCCCTGCCTCCAGACTTTTGCAATGTGAGGGGATGGTGCTGTGATTTCTCAGCTCTGTCCTACCCAAGCCTCTGCATCAGGATCTTGAAGAACCAGTCATATGACCAGGCTGCTCCACTGGCGCCTACAGACCCTGCATTTTCCAAAGATAACTGGCTTATTAATGGACAGTTCCCTGAGCCAGCAGCCTGACCCATGACACTCTCCTCCATCCCCCACCTCCTTGTTTTCTTTCTTCCCTATCTCTCTCTCTGGCTCTCGCTCTCGCTGCTTAGGTTTCTCAGCCTGTACTGTTGTCAGCTTTCTGTTTTTGTTCCTATAGTAGTTTACTGATTCCTGCTTTCTTTGAAAATATGGAAAATCCCTAGGAACATAGTGGCTTTGGCTAAATCCATTCAGATCAAACCAGACCACTTTGATCTGCCTGGCTATTCCTGAGTATTTCCCGGTAAAATGTTTGAGATAGATTAGTCAGGAGCTCCAAACTGCTCTAGACTTTTCTTACATTGTAGGAAGACTAGAGAAGTCTTCCTTGGTTTCCATATCTTTGCTCTTTTGCTGCCCCTGCCTGAGAAGCCCACCCTCCATCTCTTCTGTCTGCTGCAGCTTTCTCAGCCAGCCGAGTGCCAGAGAAACTGGATGTGGTGGTGATTGGCAGTGGCTTTGGGGGCCTGGCTGCAGCTGCAATTCTGGCCAAAGCTGGCAAGCGAGTTCTGGTGCTGGAACAACATACCAAGGCAGGGGGCTGTTGTCATACCTTTGGACAGGATGGCCTTGAATTTGACACAGGTAAGGCTTTTCCGGAGAAGGGGTGGGAGCATGGCTGTATCTTCAGGAGGCTTAGAGCAGCCGTTGTGGGATGATCCTGGGCACTTCTGTTGTTTTGGAGGCCCCACCTTCTCTCTGGACACTGTTTTCCTTGTCTGACAGCCATACCCGCTGGAAGCTGCACTGGGCAAGGATTTGGTGGTTTCTGCTGAAACGCCTCCCTACAGAAAGGGTGGGCGGCCCCCTCTGGGCGTGGACTCCGCCTTGCAGGACAACATTTTCTACCTTGCTTCCTGGTCCACCTTCCCAGGTCTGAATCCCCTTGTCCCTATGACACCTTGTTTTTCTGTCTCCCGACAGGAATCCATTATGTTGGGTGCATGGAGGAGGGCAGCCCTGACCGTTTTATACTTGACCAGATCACTGAGGGGCAGCTGGACTGGGCTCCCTTGTCCTCTCCCTTTGACATCATGGTACTAGAAGGGCCCAGTGGCCAAAAGGAGTTCCCCATGTACAAGGGGAAGAAAGCCTACATTCAGGGCCTCAAGGAGAAGTTTCCCCAGGAAGAAGCTGCCATTAACAAGTATATGAAGCTGGTTCAGGTAACATGGACATGCTGAGGACCCTCTTTTTGTTTTCGACAAGGCTGACCTTCATTAGTGGAGTGGCTGGTCGGGGAGGCAGGAAGGGAGGACTGGTCATGTCTGTCCTGAACTCAGGCCCCACCTGCGTTGGCCTCTGCCCAGCTGGGCCCTGTGTCTCTGGAGCCTGGGCTCAGCAGCTGCCACTCTCACTCTGGCCTCTGGGGGCGCCCTGCTGTTCTCCCTGACTAGGCTGGCTTCCCTGTAATCAGATCACTACCCTTTTTTTGCTTCATCTGAGACCAGATGGGGATTTTTCAAAAGGAATTTGGGCAGGAAACTGAAAAGCAAAAAAAGGGACTCATCTGAATGTAGAATGGGAAAAATTCACAGAGTACAGATTTTTAAAAAATCCAAATTCAGCAAAGTTCAGGGATAAGTGTTGCTGGGCTCTCAGGCTGGTGCAGCCTATTGGAATGGTGATTCTGTCGCAGCGTTCTAGAGATGAAACCTGTTCCTCCCTGCTTGTTTTCTTCCCCAGATGGTGTCCAGAGGAGCCATTCATGCCGTCTTGTTGAAGATCATCCCTTTGCCTGTGGCTCAGTTCCTCAACAAATGTGGGCTGCTCACCCGTTTCTCTCCGTTCCTTCGCGCATCCACGCAGAGCCTGGCTGAGGTCCTGCGGCAGCTGCCGGCCTCCCCGGAGCTCCAGGCAGTGCTCAGCTACATCTTCCCCACTTACGGTGGGTACTGGCCTTGGGCCGTGGGCGGCTCCTGGAGGTGGAGGTGCTGCCCTCCTGGCTCTCTGCCTTTCTTCTTGAACCTGCTTGGCTGATTGAAATGGAGAAGTATAAACACCAGGCCTTCTGGAGCTTGTGGATGAGAAGTTGGTCCACCTATCTGCTGGACTCCCTGGTAGAAATTCCCTTCATCCACACCCTGGATGATTTTTCTTTTCAACCAACACTGCCCTTCCTGGTCTTGGCAGCATGGCAGTTTGCAGGGAAGACATTCTACTGGCCCCAAGATTTGCAAGGTACCCCATGTTCAGATGGAAGCAGGCCCTCTGGCTCCCCTGAGCCCTGAGGATCATCTGGATCCTGGGATGGATGGACTCAGGCTGCGTATCATCTGAGAGGAATCCATGTTCGTTTCTGAATGGTGTTCCTGCCTGCTCTTGCCTCATCAGCGCTTCCTGTCTTCTGTAGGTGTGACCCCCAGCCACAGCACCTTTTCCATGCATGCTCTGCTGGTTGAGCACTACATAGAAGGGGCATTTTATCCCCGAGGGGGTTCCAGTGAAATCGCCTTCCACACCATCCCTGTGATTCAGCGGGCCGGGGGCGCCGTCCTGACGAGGGCCCCTGTGCAGAGTGTGTTGCTGGACTCAGCTGGGAAAGCCTGTGGTGAGAGCCCTGCATCATGCTCCCTGGTCCCTAGGCTTGGGTGAAGGTGAGACCTGGGGAACAGAGAAAAGAAAGCACCAAGGGAGAAGTGTAGAAGAACTGCCCTCTTCTTGGGGTTAAAGGCTGGACTCTGCCCCAGAGAAGGGGCCCAAGGAAGAGAGATTAGTCTGGAGGTACAAAAGACGCAGGAAGGGTAAAGGATTGTGCGGTACCCAAAGAACAGTATTTAATCACTTATTCAATAGATAAAAATAGTTATCCAGTAATCCGTGCCCTCCTTGAGTGAAGGGGCTGTGTCTTTTTGATGTTTATGTCTATAGATCTTTGCACATAATAGGCTCAGTGAATGTTTGTTCAGTGACTGATGGAATGAATGAGTAACCCGGGCACTCCATAGGGCAGTGTGGAGGCCAGCAGGATGCCCTGCCCTCAATCTGTAAACGGCAGAGTGGGGCCTAGAATCTCTTTATCCAAGCTCAGGTCTTTGCTGTTATCTGCACAGAGAGTCAGAATCCCATTATGGATGGACTCTATGAGGAGAGGTCTATGCAAGGAAGGATTCTGGTATGTAGAACAGGCCATCCATGACTAGGGGGTGCTTAAAGAAGCATCAGAGGAAGGGACAGAGAGAGGCCTGAGGAAAACAGGGCTGGTATGATGGTGAGTTCACCAAAGGAAGCTTTCAAGGAGGAGGTGTTGAGTGGGTGGCCCACTGCCCCCCAAAAAACAATGGAAAATAGGTCATCAGCCATCTCTGAGTACACGTTTGCAGAAGAGACTAGGAAGTTGCTGGGTGGTAAGAGAAAGGTGGCTGTCAGTTGTGTGAGTTTTCTCTGATGTCCATGAGCAAGTTCTCCTTCCAGCCCAAAGGGGTACATGAAGCCAGGTGGATTTATCAGTTCGATTAAATTCAATTCAGAATATATTGATTTGTGTTTTTCATGTGCTAGGCAATGAAAGATGGAGATAAAAGGATAAGTTAGTCCCAATCTCTTAACTTAAGAAGTTTCTAGTCTTATAGGGAAGATCACTGGGATATAATGTAAGTGCCACATAGAGGCACATACTAAGGATGGGAGGTGATGTAGGGGATGGTGGAACAGGGGAGGCCTCAAGGGAGGGCAGAGGTGCTTGAGCCATGTCATAAAGGGGGAGAAGAAGCTAGGTGGGGGAAACAGAATGTAAAAATGCATTGAGGTTTGAAAAAGCCGAGTATTTTTAGGCCTCTGAAAATGCTAGGTTGAACCATAAGAAACTGACATTTTTATAAGTCAAAAATGGTTGAATAGCAGCTGTTTCATATGGTTCTACCTAATAGTTTAGTGAGAGTGGCCAGAGATGAGGCTGGACGCACAGACGGGATCAAATCGTGGAAGGCTGACACAAGACTTTGGAGTTTCTCTTCTAGAGGTTGAGGTGACACGGGAAGGTTTTAAAGGGAGTATTTTGGAAATAGAACTCTAGTGGCAGTGAAGAAGCCTTTGATTCCAATGGGCTTCAGCTTATGAGCTTTGTCCAGGTTAGTGTGGAGGTGGTTGGGTCTGGCTAAAGAAAAGAGTGCCCACACAGGGTGGGGAGAGAGCGAGGGAGGGTGAGCGCCGAGCAACTGGGGGAAAAGCTGAGAGGGCCTAAGGATGCTTCACTGACTTTGCAGTTTTCTGGGAGGCTGCATGCCTGGCCCCATGTGGGCTGGATGGCCAGGTCTGAGAAAACAAAGGGTATGCTGGGAGAGATCTGTGCAGGATATGGGCCTTTCTCTTCCTCCTGGAGTGCACAGAACCTCAGCCGCACTCTTGCGCCTGCAGGTGTCAGCGTGAAGACGAATCGGGAGCTGGTGAACATCTGCTGCCCCATCGTCGTCTCCAGCGCAGGACTGTTCAATACCTATAAGTACTTGTTGCCGGAGAAGGCCCGCTGTCTGCCAGGTGAGACTGGGCTGCATCGCCCTCTTCCCCAGCACCGCCCCTCTGGAGCCAGGCTGCCTGCTTTCCCCAGGGCCGTGGCTGCCCTTTGACCGTCCAGTCTCTAACATCCATTCCCGGCAAAGCCTCTGTGTTTAGGGGTTGAGAAACAACTTCCTTTGTATCACGTCATCCCCGCCCTTTGGTCCTTCTCTCTCGTTTCGTTCTTGGCCTCTTTATCCCTTTCCCCTTGTAACCTCAATCACTCTTCCCTTGCCTCTTTTAAGTCTCCATTCCAGTTGCCATTTCCAGTTTCCTTAGATCTTAGATCATTTTTTTCATAGTTAATGACGGTGGGTAGAGTCCTAAAGGAAGATTTCTTGGATTTTCACTGTTTGTGGTATGAATCCTGCTTCTGGCCTTACTTTCTCACTTGTTTTGAGTGGGGCAGACTGGTCTGACATTTTCGGTAAGGGAAGCTAAAGGCTGGTGTGGAGAAGAAAAACTTGATGTAATTGTCGTGTGCCCTATTTGGGACCCAAGGTCCTATTTTCTGCCTCTTTCAGAAAGCGACTCCTTACTGGGGCTGAGGCTACAGGGGTACTTTTCTGACTTTCTTCTGTTCCTTGAGCCCTGTGCTCAAAATCTGGGACCTACACAGGAATAAACCTCAATCCAGTCCTCTCCCCTAATAGGCTGTGTCCAACCATAAAAGCCTGGTTTTGTGAAGAGGGGAGGTAGGCATGTTTATGGTGTGTCCTTGGTGAGTCTGTTTGAGAGGCTTTACTTCTGTCATTGCACTTGATCCTCAGAGCTGCCTGGGAGAGAGAGCCCGCCATCCTAATGTTTATGGCTGGGGAAGCTGAAGCCCATAGAGGGCAAGTAACTTCCCAAGGCCACCGAGCTGAAAGTGGCAAAGCTGAGATGAGAACACTGGTGCGTCTGACTCAGAAGCCTGGGCTCTCAGCCTGCTTGGGGCTGAGAAGTGTGAGGCTTCCAGAGAAAAGGCCTCACTAAAAGTTTTAGGGGCAGGAGAGCAGGTCAGCCCACAAAGAACAAAATGGCTGAGCCAAAGTTAGGTGAGAGGTTACCGTTTTGAAATAGACTTTAGAATATCATGTAACCAGAAGCTACTGGTGTGATGTGAGGAAAAGAGGCTGGCTGGCTGAGAGGGGACCAATAATCCAGGAGGGTGAGAGAGAGGGGTCGAGATAGAGGCCTCTGGCTGGGGTGGGAGGTGGAGAGAAGGGAGCGGCTCAAGATGTGGTTGGGATGGAGACCATGGACTTCAGGGGTGTGCGGTGGAGGAGCCCAGAGAGCAGTGGGAAGGAGCTCTCCACCTCAGAGGGTGACCCTGGGGCTGCTCTTTGAGGAGCAGGGGAAGGTGGGCAGCAGAGTGGGTTTGGTGGAAAAGTGAGGTCTTAGATTTCCTTGTTGGGGAGAGGGTAGGGTGGCCGCTGTGATTGTCTCTAAGGTATAAGATGTGTATTGCCAAAAACCAGCCTTCTCATTCCTTTGCCTCACTTAGCTGGGCCCCAGCCAGCGTGTGCTGCCGGCTGAGGCCTCCGCTCTCAGGCTGGGTGAGCAGAGTAGGGTGAGGCAGAGACAGCTGCATGACAGGGCAGTGGGGCAGGGCTGGGCGGGCCAACAGACTTTGCCTTTTATACTTCCTGCCTCCCTGTCTCTCAGGACCTCTGAACCTTGACACTGTCCTCTGACAGGTCCCAGTGTCCCACCCAGGCCTGCCTTCTCTCCAGGCAGCCATGCTACAGAGTTACCTGTTTAGATTGTCCTCCCTTCACTGTCCAGTTATAGCTTTCACTGCTCTTATGTATCTTAGCTCTGAAAACAGTCTAATGGCAGCAGCCCCCACCTGGCTGAAGGACGATTGCCCCCTGGGGTGGGGAGTTGGATGTTGCCCCAGATGAATCCGAGTTTGAGAACATTCCAGGCAGTGGCAGCGATGCTGCGTAGCTCAGAGACCCCAGGTGCTGGGACTCCTTTGTTTCCAGCTGTCTGGGGTAGAGATTCTCATAGGTCTCTCTACCTCTCAGAGATGGGAACCAGATATCTGGTGGCCTCTGAGACAGGCAGTGCCAGTTGGGCTTGAGGGTGGAGGTACGGTGGTCAGGCAGAGGGAGCCTTTGTGAATAGGAGCGCCTTTCTCAATTCCACTGCTGAGCCTTAAAGAGGTTACTGGGGATGGTTTGGAGAGGAAGTTGTATGAGTGGGGAAGACTGGTCTGACAATATCAGTAAGGGAAGCTAAGGCTGGCACGGAGAAGAAAAGTTGACATAATTGTTGGGTGTCTTGTTCGGGACCCAAGGTTATATTTTTCTGCCAATTATACTGTTCCTGGACCCCTTCCTTCTAGCTGGGGAAAGGGAAAGGAGGGGCTGGGTGAAGGTAGTTGTTCTAAGGGGCCTCTGAAGACCGAGGGGGATTTACTCCCGGGCCCCTGGTTCTCTCCATCCCTACCCCACCGGAGAGGGAGTGCCAGCAGTGTGATTGCCCCTGGATTCCAGGAGCAGGTGATAAGGTGCTCCTGCAACTCAGGGTAGTCCACTGCTCCTTATTGCAACTGGGGAACTCCACATTCCCCTTCCCTCCTCAGTGTGCTCCTGTAGCTGGGTGTCTGTAAATCTTACGCCTGTTGTCCTCCTGTGGTTGTGATAACGCCCTCTTTCACTCTCAAAAGTGGCCTGTTTTGGATGATAGATTCTATGGTCACCCTGCCAGAGCGCTCCATTCTTTGCAGCTTCCATGAGGACAGCCGGCTTCTGTCAGGAAAGCCTCTTCTCCAGTAGGCAGGCGTCATCCGTGATTCCTTGTAGTATTCCCAGGGTCCAGCAGAGGGCTCCGTACCTGTTCAGTCCTCAACAAAGATTTGTTAAACGAAGGAAGTAGAGCAGCCAGTGGCTGAGTTATCCCTCAAGCAGGTGCTGGAGGTGGTCCTGGGAATGGGAACAAAGGATAAGGATTTGTAAGAGCAAAATTTCTGGAAAACTGGTCTGAGGTCATCTGTTGAGAGGTGGGGACACCCAGCTGCATAGGTCTGGGGGACATTAGAGCCCTCACGGTGGCTGTTGCCTTCCTCCCTGGTGCTGTTCTTGCCTCCTCCCCTAGCTGCCAGGCGCCAGTAATGCTGTTCACATTTGTTCATCCGCACTGCTTACCATTTCCAGGCCTTGTACTGACTGTACAGCACATTAGGAATTATGCATATTCATTCAATAGATGACTTGTACTGAAGTTAATACTGAAATCAAGGCTTATAGCAAACTACTGTTCACATGTGTGGTCTTTGTAGTGTGGAGCCCAGTCATCTGCTCGTAACAGAAAGACATTAAGGAGAAGATTGGAAGTAGTTAGCCTGCGACTGTCCTGCAGGCGCCGTGAGCCAGCTTAGGGAGGCTGGGCGTCACCTGCTTCTAAAGGTGCCTAGAGCAGCAGTGGGTGGAGGTGGAAGACCAGGAATCCGTTGTGTCCTTCACAGGCAGGAGACAGAAGAGCAGGCCTCTGCCAAGTCAGCGTTGAATAAGGGTTGTAAAATGGCCCAGGGCGCTAGGCTGGGGCCCAGAGTGAGCAGGCATGGGGCAGGGAGTGGCCATCTCTGGCCGCAGTTCACAAACCCTCACCAACTCTCTTTGGCAGGTGTGAAGCAGCAGCTGGAGATGGTGCGGCCCAGCTTGAGCATGATCTCTGTTTTCATCTGCCTACGAGGCACCAAGAAGGACTTGGGTCTGCAGACCACCAACTACTATGTTTATTTTGACACAGACATGGACAAGGCGTAAGGGATGTGTGTGCATGTCGGGGGAGAGGGTGTCAGCATGAGCTCACAGGGCCCTTTCCTCCTCCCTTGATGCTGGGGAATAAGCAGCAGGATGTGGACTGGGAGGAAGTGGACAGGAATTCTCTCCTGGAAGGGCTTTTTCACACCTAGGCTGTGCTTCAGCTTCATCCCTGTGAGGGCTCCCTGGGGATATAATGTCCTTGGGGTGGTGCTGGTGGCCTGGAGATTGACAGCCATACTCCTCTCACCCCCAGGATGGAGCACTATTACTCTCTGCCCAGGGAAAAGGCCGCAGCACACTTGCCCTTTCTCTTCATTTCTTCCTCATCAGCCAAGGACTCGACTTGGGAGGACCGATTCCCAGGTGGGGTTAAGTTCTGGGGGAGGGGGGGGAGGTGGGTGTGGTTAGGGTGGGGAAGCGGCCGGGCAGTAGTAACGCCGGCTCTGCATCCCCAGACCGGTCCACAATGATCGTGTTGATACCCAGCTCCTATGCGTGGTTTGAGGAGTGGCGGGAGGAGCCAAAGGGGAAGCGGAGCAGTGACTATGAGACCCTCAAAAATTCCTTTGTGGAAGCCTCTCTGTCAGTTGTCATGAAGCTGTTCCCACAGCTGGAGGGAAAGGTAGGAGGGTAGACCTCCTATGTGGTTGTGGTGACAGACCTCTTGGTGCCATTTCTACCCTTTCTTTGGGGCACAGGGACAAAGGCCTGAGATAACTGAGCTCCAGAGAAGGACAGGGAACCCTTGTCCCAGGCCGTTAGCTCATTCAAGGAGAACAGAAAAGGACGAGACGAGGGGCTGGCCCAGTGGCATAGTCGTTAAGTTCATGTGTTCCACTTCAGTGGCCCAGGGTTCGCTGGTTTGGATCCTCAGGGTAGACCTGCACACCGCTCATCAAGCCATGCTGTGGCAGCATCCCACATACAAAAAGTAGAGGAAGGGGCTGGCCCCATGGCCGAGGTTAAGTTCGCGTGCTCCGCTGCAGGCGGCCCAGTGTTTCGTTCGTTCGAATCCTGGGCGCGGACATGGCACTGCTCGTGAAACCATGCTGAGGCAGCGTCCCACATGCCACAACTAGAAGGACCCACAATGAAGAATATACAACTATGTACTGGGGGGCTTTGGGGAGAAAAAATAAAAAATAAAAAAATCTTTTGAAAAAAAAAATAGAGGAAGATTGCCACAGATGTCAGCTTAGCGACAATCTTCCCCAAGCAAGCAAGAGGAAGATTGGTAACAGATATTAGCTGAGGGCCAGTATTCCTCACCAAAAAAAAAAAAAGAAAAAGAAAAGGAAGAGACGAGGCTTTCACTAGGTCCCACTGCCTTTTTTGCCTCCTCAGGTGGACAAGGTGACTGGAGGATCCCCACTGACCACTCAGTTCTATCTGGCTGCTCCCCAGGGTGCCTGCTATGGGGCTGCCCATGACCTGGCTCGCCTGCAACCTCACGTGATGGCCTCCCTGAGGGCCCAAAGCCCCATCCCCAACCTCTACCTGACAGGTACACTGACTGCCCCATTTTTCCAGGACCTGAGACCCTGGGCCTCCCTGTCACCCAAAGTCCTCTGTTCCTGTCCTTAGGTCCTGCTTTCCCTTGCAGCCTCCCACACCCTGAGCTGGGTTGCCTCAGCAGGCTGTGGACCCTCGTCCTGATCTGAAGCCATCTCCAGGTGGCCCTAGCTTGGAGGAATGAACACAAGAACCCTTGCTCTCCCCTCTCCCCAACTTGGGGGATGCTCATGGGCCTCTGCTCTTGTCTCCTAGGCCAGGATATCTTCACCTGTGGGTTGATGGGGACCCTGCAAGGGGCCCTGCTGTGCAGCAGCGCCATCCTGAAGCGGAACCTGTACTCAGACCTTAAGAAGCTTGGCTCAAGGATCCAGGCACAGAAGAAGAAGAATTAGCTTGGTCAGGGATGAGTCAGAGGAATTTTGCCAGGGCTGTGGCATAGCCCGACTTACCCAGTGATAATGTCTTTCTGCATTAGTTCCTTGCTCACGTGAAGCGCTCTTAATTTGTTTTTGATTTGCGAATACAGGTCTGACACACAAGTCTAGCATAGATCAGTTCTTAAACTGTAGCTCTTTCAGCTGAAGCAGGTGATGATCTTTCATACCCTTTATAACATTATTCTTACTGAAAGGCCCATGTGGGCTATGATTTAGACAGCCATAATGTTTCATTGAGCAGTGCTCTGCACCCCACACCCATACCTCCTAACTCTGAACAATCAAACTGAAGGTTCTTTTGGTCAGGTGGTTAGAAGCCCTGAAAGTGTTGGTCAGCTGAAGCAGGTTGGTCCAGCTGTCCCAAGGCTTCTCCTCTCAGTCACTCTTAATACTGCGCTGCAGGCGTTCTACACCGTTGAGGGAAGAGGGTGCCTAATGAGGTTTTTAGTCAACACCTGGGCAAGGTGTTGGTTGCAGTTCCACAGGTTTAGAGGCCTCCAGATCCCATTTTTGCTGATTCCAATGGCTCTTTCAGAGAGTGGGGAAACACCTGTGATAGGTTCAGTGTGGTCATGGGGGCTGGGGGTAACGACAAGACATATTAGTTAGTGAGGTGTATGTTAGAAAATCGTATCCAGTTTGTATGCAGCCAGGCCCCTAGGTTCATCTTCCTTATGATTGGGGTGACATTGGGTTCTCATCGTGCCAGCATCAAGATACTCTCATGGAGCTCAGTGCCTGAGCCTGAAGGCTTATTGTCCAAAAATATACAGTGAAGGGTGACGTTAGTAGTTAGGGGACAGGACAGGAAAGATGAGTTCACTGGGGTTGACGCAGGCTGAAAGCATTCCAGGTCAAGCCTACAGCAGAGGACAAGCACTGAGAGCAATGTATCATGACAAAGGGCCCAGCTACCTCCTAGACCTAGAATATGGTGCCCGGTAGGGAGGAGGAGCGGGATTGGAACAATGAAAGAACATGTGCAAAGTCCGGGAATGGCATTTCCAGTTTATTGGTACTTATATGGGGACTGCATGGGAAGGTGAATGAAGGCCAAAAGGTAAAAAAAAAAAAAAAAGACCTTTCACTTATGTTAGGGCTTATTTCAGTTAATTTTAATGCAATGTTAATAAATTTAATGATTTTGTGGCTTTAATATTTGAAATTTATTTTGGTTTCTGTGCAGTGATACAAAACTTCATTGAGATGGCATTCACAGAAGCTCAGTAAAACATTACGTACTGAAAAATACTTATTAGACCAAAGAAGCTTTAAGAAAAATTAAGTAGTTAAATTACAAAAAGCTGAAAATATAAAACATTGCAAAACAGCAGCAATCTACTAATTGGGTAAACAAAAAAGAAGGGAAACAATTTCAACAATCAATCATTTATTTAACACAACAGACTTCTGAATTAAGGGAATATCTTCCAAGAGTGTGAGGAGGCTGGCTTTGCTAACAGTGTGGGACACTACACAGCCCCGGCAGCTTTACAGAGGAGTTTCTAAGTTGGGACATTTAGGAAATTCACATGCGACTTGTGGAACTAGCTGAGGTGGGATTCAGGCTTGGCTCTGGATCTACCGTTAAATTAAACCTGAAAATCTCTTCCCAGGATTCTTACGTAAGCAGGGCAAGACCAAACGCAACGTTCCCAGCAACAGTTTTCAGAAAACAGGTGGCAGAACTGCAGGGTCTGGTGTAGAGCAGACTCTCCTCCCTGTTCCAATGATTCAGAACATGTGCAAAGCGTGCTAGCTTTCATCACACGTGCAGCATTATGTATCAAGTTACCCTGTAAAAGTAAGGGGCAGGCTTCCTTTTTTGATTTAAATGACATGAAATGGAGAAGAAAATGAGAATCACTATCAGGGGAATTTTAGAGGTTTAGGATTCGATCACCAAATATTTCATTAAAAGCCATCATGGGAAAAGAAATGCCAGAGTATATATAGCTAGTTGTCAGGCCTTTCTGAGTTGTTCTTAGCCTTTCCAGATAGACTGGCCCCCACTCCACCAGACTTTTGAAATAATTCTACTCAGTAACCTGTAGCAGGAGAACAAGCCCTTCTACTACCTGCCGTGACTGAAGCACAGACTCCTAACAGAAATCACCCTTCAACCAACAGCCAGTGGCAGGAAAGGAAGCACACAGCCGTCTGGATAGGGATGCCTCTCCTGGCTCCCTGTGCTGCTTTGCCCGCGCCCCACCCCCAGCTTAAGCGATGCCTCAGCCAGCTTCAAATAATCTATTTTCAAAAAGGCAACTACCCAGAAAACAAGTTTTCCTTTGGTGTGAGATTTCCTTCAGTGCAATTTCTAAAGCGAAACAAATTCTGTTGTATTCTTTCACCACAGGAAATGATACTTCTCAGAGGCTCAGAGAGTGGAGCTGTGTGGTCTCCACAATACTTATGTGTCCACTTGGTGCCAACCCTCTTGGTTCCTGAAACCAACCTTTCTGCTCTCTTTACAACCAAAATCCATCAATAAGGGACAGCAAACACACGCCACAAAGAGCCATGTGAGACCTCAGTTAAGTCACATCCAGATGTCCTGAAGAAAATGTCTCCTTTGCAAGAAAAAATTGACTCCTGAGGTACGTAGGGACGTCACTCTGCTATGCAGATACGGAGATGGTGCCAAGGGCACTCCCACAAGTAGGTTTCTTGGGGAGGCCAGAGACGTCAGATCCTGACTGCTTGGTTTTGCTGAAGTTCCAAAACTTGTGATTGGCATTATTAAGAGCTATTAGAGTAGAATGGAAAGAGCCAATCATGTATGGTGGGGAAGTTAGGGAGGTACATGGGAAAACTTGAGCAGGGCCCTGAAGAAACAGATTTTTGGGAAGACAAGAGAAAGAAGGGAGAGCACCCTAACCAGAGAGCAACCATAGGAAGCCAGGGAATGGAGGAGGCACTGAGAACAGAGGCGCAGAGGACTAGATGGGCACCCAATGAGGAGCGTTTGGCTTGGCTAAGATGTAGAAACAAACAGGCAGGAAAGGGCCAATCTGCAGAGTCCTGAATACTAAGAGCCTAGAGACTTGGTTCTCTAAGCCATGAGGGGTACAGACAGAAGTTTCAGATCAGGGCACATATTTAGGAAAGACCGATCCGGTCTCTTTATGCACATAAGAGAAGATGGACAGGAGGACCAATTAATGTGGCTCCTGAAAAAAAAATCTGGGAGAGAGGTGAAATGGTGGGTGGGTGGGTACAGGGAAGCAAGGAAAATGGAAAGATTGTACCTGGAGATATTAAAAAAATGGATAGGACGTTTGTGACAAGACAAAAATGGTGAAAGTTTGCAGTGTGGAGTTGAGATGATTATAGTGGGCAATTGAAAGGGGCAGCTTAACGGGTAGAAGAGAGAAATTCAGTTTTAGGGACAACAGGACAACCCAGCTGAGATATTCAGCACACGGCAGGACTGGGTTCTCTGGGAACTAGGCCAAGGTTAAAGACTTAGGCGTCACTCCCTCAGAGGATGAAGAATGGGTGAATTTCTGAGGAGATTAAGTTGAGGGCCCTCTCCACCAGCACAGGATAAGGCAAAGGAGTTCTTAGAAGCCAGAACAGTTTGTCAGAGAACTCAAAAGAGAGGAATTTCAATTTGGATGGTCAATAGTGTCCAATTCTATCAAGGACAAGACTAAGCTCTGAGAACAAGCCAATGGATCTAGTGATCTGAACCTCTGGAAAAACACTATCAATAGAAAGACAGGGACCAAAGTGAGTTTGTAAAGGTTATAAAGAAAATGAATAGCAAGGTAATGGAAGCGACACTTACTGGAGACGTTGAACACAGAATGAATACCAAATAGGATGGATAGGAGCAGGGGAAGTCTGGGCATGCAGGAAGGAAGAAGGAAAGGTGCTAGTGTAGACAGGCACAAATAGAAGACATTAGAGAGGAGGGGGAAGGTAGGGAAAGGGAGACAGAAAAGGGAGTGAAATCACCCCCGTCTTAGGGAATGCTATGAGAACCTGAGAGAAGATTCCTCAGGTTGGAAGAAAGTATTCTAAGACTGGTACACAGGTAGAAAGAATGAGGCCAAGAAGAGTATTCATTCATTCCTTATCTCCACAAATAGCTTACCTACAAAGAATGAAAATCTCAATTCAAAGCCATGGGCTGTTTTAAGCAAAGTGGAAAATAATATGACAAACAGGACAGTCCCTTCTTCAGACTTACTTCTTCAGCAGCACAGAGGTCATCACATTCCCCTCACTTCCCACATTCTTTGTATTTCCCTGAGATGAGCTATTTGATTTCAGTTTTTTTGTTGCAGGAAACTCTCTTTAGGCCCTCTATAATAGGGTAGCATGACTAGAACAGATTTACATAAAATTTCAAACAGCATGATCCAAGACACTACCCTCTGTTGCCCCAGGGCAACTCTCTGAATTTCTTAAATTTTAACAATCCCTGACGTGGGATGAAAGGCGAATTTTTACTAATTACTTTTGGCATTTTATATCAGATGAGAGGACCATTAACTAGATTAAGGTAAAACAGGGTACAGTTAGTTTCTAAATATGTCTATTTAGTCTATTTTAGGCAACAAAGGCAAAACAGAGTTTATAGGAAACTTGTTTCATAAAAGCCCTTTGAAAAAAATGCAGACCCAAACCAAAATCCTCCTAGATGTTTTCTTGCACGAAGCATGAACTTACCCTACTTCAAAGAGTTCCTATTACAATTGTGAGTAAGGAAGAACACAGTGTTTCACTGATTGTAACTATATTTTTAAAAATCTGCAACAGGATCAGTGGCTTTACAGCTTTACTCCCCGAATTCCCAAGTTCAGCTGTATGCTCAGGTCAACCAAATGGAAGTTGATTCACTTTGTCTTAAGTAATATGAAAATATCAGAAAAACATGAAGAACTCATACTAGACAGGTTGGACTTGCAGGCAATAAAGCACTTTTTTTAAGCTGCTGTTTTGGTTTGCTGCTGCAGCCTTTGAAGAGGATTCTGGGTTCAAACTAGCCCTCTGCCGTTCAGCAGTCACCATCTTCTCCATCTTTTGTAGGGCACATCCCCCCAAAGTAAGAGGGCTTGGTAGAAAAGCACCTCAACCTGCAAAGTTTTCTTGTGGGTCTGTGAACATAAATCGTGGCGAGTGCAAGGCTATTTTCAAGGGGTAACTTTACTACAGAGCCAAGGCCCAAGGGAGGGCGGTGAGCAGCAATAGCCTGCCCAGGGCTGGGTCTCCCTTTGGTCATAGCTGGGTTCCCACACGCTCCCTCTACTCACATTCAGGGGGGAAAGCATGGAAGACACCAGCATAAATAAAAGGAACACAGGAGTACAAGCTCACCAAAGTGCAGGTGCAAAACCCAAAGCAAACCCCCTGCCTCTGCCAGCCCGGACTCGTCACCAGAGCCTAGAGGAGGAGGTGTCCCTTAGCTCACAGTACTTTCCTCTTCATTTCTCTTGATTTAGACACAAATCAGCAGGGAGGACAGGTTCTCAAGAACAGAAAAATCAAATCTGAAACGAGAGCAACGCAATCCATTGGTAACATTCACCTTTTTCCAGAGGAATATACCTTATTGCTATGATTTTTGTAAAAAGAAAAAATCTTATAAAAGTTGTAGTTCAGAGAAAAAATTCAGAAATAAGACAAACTGACCCTCCACCACACAAACAGCAATTGATAACAGCACACAGTATTTTAAAAGTCAGTTTGAAATAAAACATACACTAGAAAGATACACACTTGGTGGAGGGAATATGGGAATCTTGACTTCTGCTTTGTACCATTTTGTATTGTTTTGAATTGTTTACATGTGCATTTTTTGTTTTGTTTTGTTTCGTTTAAAGATTTTATTTTTTTCCTTTTTCTCCCCAAAGCCCCCCAGTACATAGTTGTATATTCTTCGTTGTGGGTCCTTCTAGTTGTGGCATGTGGGATGTTGCCTCGGCGTGGTTTGATGAGCGGTGCCATGTCCGCGCCCAGGATTCGAACGAACGAAACAGTGGGCCGCCTGCAGTGGAGCGCACGAACTTAACCACTCGGCCACGGGGCCAGCCCCAAACATGTGCATTTTTTTTAATCACAAAAAATATTATAATGAAGTGGGGGGGAAAATCCTTAAAGTCAACTCCCTGGGAAGCTACTACACCAGAGCTAAATTACAAAACA